GGGTTAAACTATTCAGAACATAGGATAAATATCAGAGATGCAGAGACTTGGTTCTACTATTATTTATAATAGTGAAAAACAGGGAACTAAATATCCAGTGGTAAGGCAAATTTTGGTGAATGCAAATAATAGAATCTTAGAAAGTCATTCATTATACAGATTTAAAGACTGGGTGGCTCAGTCGGTTGAGCATCCGACCTCTGATTTTGGCACAGGTGGTGATCTCATGGTTCGTGGGTTCGAACCCTGCCTCGGGCTCTGTGCTGGTGGCACAGAGCCTGCTTGGGATTCTGTCTCTCTCCCTCTCTCTCTGCCCCTCCCCTCACTCTTGTGTGCTCTCTCTCTCTTTTTCAAAATAAATAAACTTTTAAAAAATTTGAAGAGTAGTACAATAAATGAAGCTCAGAATATAAAGATAATTTTTTTTGTTTTATTTATTTTTGAGACAGAGAGAGACAGAGCACAAGTGGGGTGGGGACAGAGAGAGAGGGACACACAGAATCTGAAATAGGCTCCAGGTTCTGAGCTGTCAACACAGAACCTGATGCGGGGCTCGAACCCACAAACTGTGAGATCATGACCTGAGCCAAGGTTGGACGCTTAACCAACTGAGCCGCCCAGGTGCCCCATAAAAATAATTTTTTTAAAAGCTGAAAAAATTTCATTCAGTATCATGCCCCTTTTGGTAAACACAATAAATGATACTGTGTGCATGCGGTGGAAGGTGTGGCTGTGTGAATGTATATGCATGGTGAGTAAGAGATAACTATTGGTTAAGGCTTGCCTTTTTCACATGAGCAGGGACCATGTATCTTGCTCACCTCTTGTCTGGCATATTGCCTGGCAATATTCTCCTCCCTTTCAGTAGCTTAGCAAGAAGTAGGCTCAGCGGTTCAGTGGCAAAACCAGAGCTCAGCTCCACCGGAGACATCCCCATCTAACAAACCCACTTCTCCATCTAGGAGGCTCCAGCTGCTGGGAAGCTGCCTGGATGCTTCCTTCTCATTTCCAATTCCCATAAATATATAGAATGTCTGCAGGGACTGGAGTCCCTCTCTACTGAAAAGCTGACCTAATCTGTCCACTCTAGTGATGTTCACCCTTTACTACCGTCCATGGGGAATCGGGAGAGTTGAGGAGATCATTGTGCTCTGCTACTTCTTTGAGTGTGACCTTTCCACAAAAAGCCATGTGGCTCTAGGGTCCTAGGTTTGTGTGTGTGTGTGTGTGTGTGTGTGTGTGTGTGTGTGCGCGCGCGCGTGCACGCGCGCATGGGTGTGTGTCTTTTCATGTGTTCCTTTTGTACAATAGGGGTAAACGTGATGCATTTGGTTTTGTATGTGTAGAGTTTGAGGTTCCTGTGGAATGTTCATGTAGAAATATCCAGTACACAGGTAGGTATTAGGATCATCAGCATAGCATCTGGGATGGAAATAAGAATTGAGGATCATCAGCTTGTCTTGCTTTAGACTGCCAGGGAGTATAGAGGAAGGGCTAGGGGTGGTGGATGGTTTCTTGGAGGAGAGAAGACCTGTGCCGAGTCTTCAAGGATGGAGTGTCTTTGATTAATAGGGTGTAAGAAAAGACTTTCCAGGGAGAGAACATAACATTTGTCATGTCAGGAGCAGAATGTGCAAAATTGGTTTCCCTTTGGGCTCTGTAACTTGCAGTTCCCTTCCATGGACAACTGTCAACAGAAATCCCAATTTATCCTAATTCCCTTCCAGCTCCTCCATGGCCTACAACAGCTTTGAGCCACTATGACACTCCTCAATTGATCCTGCAAACAAAGAGTTTCTTCCAAACATGCTAATAAATGCAATGGGAAAACTTTCTGATTTAACAAAGAATTGTTAAAAGTTGTACTTGATGCCTAAAGCCACTTTCAGGAGTTAGCAAAAGTAGGGCAGTCGAAGTCTAAAATATACTCCAAATCTTTCTCTTTGTTTATGATGTTGGGGGCCTTGAAGCTTGGAAAACATTTAGGATCAGGATGCTACAGAGTCTTGATAGTAAAGTGGAAGCAGAAAAATGGCAAAGCATCTGCTTGAAGCTAGAAGAGACGCCAAGTTTGAGGACGGTTAATGTGAGCTGTGTTGGAAGATGTGATGTGACCTTGTGAGATGATGGAAGTCTGGGGATGGTGCTCCAGGACTGAGATGGGACCAAATCCCGCCCAGGCTCCACCCTCCTCTCGGCCCCAGGCTGCAGGTGAGGGTGGGCAACTTACAAGACACTGCTCTTCCCCACCAAGCCAATGGGCTGAGCTAAACCAGAAACCCAAAGTCCCAACTCCACCTCCGAAACTGTATGACCTTTACCGTACTTTAAGACTTTCTGAAATTCATTTTAATTCTATGAAATGCCAATAACAGTGCAGGTACACAGTGTGAAAGTTAATAAAGGGAAACATCACTAAAATGGAGTGTGGAAGCCAGGAGGGGGAGCTCTCACTCTGTGCCACTGCACCTCGGGTCTCAGAAGAACTGCCAAATTACAGACCCCAATAGAAGAATGCTCAGGGGACAGGAGTCATCGATTTCAGTCCCCAACAGAAAAAGATGTACATTTCCCCTCTGACAAGTAATAGATGACCCCAGCAACTCAGCCAATAAGAAACCATCATCACTCTTAACTCTTGCTTTTCTCGAAAGGACAAGAACTCCTCTCAACTTCCTCCTTCTTAAAAAATAACATTCCTCTCTCTCTCTCCCTCTCTCTCTTTTTTTTTTTTTTTTTTTTTTTTGTGGGTCTCACCTATGGTTTTTGCCATAGCTTGCTTGTTACAAATTGTAGTTCTCTAATATTCTGGAACAAACCCATATTTGCTGGTAAAATAACTGATTTTTATTTGTAAGATCGATAATTGTAGGTGGTGAAGAACATTTTTGTTAAATAACTGAATGAATTTTTCCATATCCATGAAGGTCATACTTGGAAACGTGTTGAGAAAGTCCAAAACATTTCAAAGGTTCTAGAGATCATTATGTCTATGGCAAACACACATGTTTACCTGGTTCTGGCTCCCCCTGGAAGGTGCTAATTTCTGGGGCCTCAAGGGGTAACAGTGGAGTGGAGAAAAATCCCAGTGTGAAAATGATGTCATATCAGCTATTTGTCTCTCTCTTTCTTTTATAAGCTATTGCCTCTGTGAGGGCCTCTGGGCTAGCATGACTGTCCCTCCACTTCGGTTAAGAAGTGTCCATCCTCTTGTCTGGGTGAGTGCCATCCCAGGACCCCTCACTGGACTCTTGACTTGGTTTACATGCCAAGGGAATGGGCTCTGGAATGGCTCCTCTCTCCTCCTAAAATATAAAGTGGGACTTGGGCGCTTGAATATGAGAGGTCAGAGAGAAGGCAGTGGTGACTAAGGTTCCCTGACGGCAGGGTTGTTACCAAAACAGTTAAGTCAAGAGCAGATTGAGAAAGAAGACTAATGCAGGTCTGGAGGGATTGACTTGGAGGTGATAGTCTGAACATGTCCATGTAGAAGAGGCTAGACCATTAGTTGGCATTTGACCCATTGTGGTCTTGACATTATTCTCAGAAGTAATCATCAGGAAATGTCTTCCTCTGCTTATGCCTTTTTCACTTGGGGAGATCCAGCTCCAGCCTTTTCCTGTTCAAGGAGACTTAAACAGCCATCCTTCAACCAGAAGTTGAGACAGATCACTGTGCATTTTATTAGTGTGACCATTTTGGGGAAAGGCAAGTATTGTCCAACTGATCATATGGGGTCAGTCACGGCACCATCACAGACTCTGTCCCTATCTGGTCATCAGGTCCATGATAGTGTGTGTGCTGGATGATGTGTAACTAGGGCGATGAGACAGAGGAGCAAGAAGCTAAGTGATGGTGGAATTGGAAGCAGAAGGGAATTCAGGCGCTGGGTATCTGCTTGTTTAGCTCTGTGAGAGAGCTTAACTGGGTATCCACGGATCCCACCTGGGAACCTAAGCCTGCAAATTCTCATCCTACTCAAAAACTTTTTTTTTACAGTAAAATAAATTTTTTTAATGTTTTATTCACTTCTAGGAGAGAGAGAGAGAGAGAGAGCGTGAGCAGGGGAGGGTCAGAGAGAGAGGGAGACACAGACTCTGAAACAGGCTCCAGGCTCTGAGCTGGCAGTCAACACAGAGCCAGAAGAGGGGCTCGAACCCACGAACCGCAAGATCATGACCCAAGCGAAAGTCGGACGCTTAACCGACTAAGCCATCCAGGCACCCCTACATTTTTCTTAATCAGCAAAAGGTCAGTACTTTGGATTCCAAATTTCCCCAATTCTATATGGAGAAATGCAATATCATCTTGCTGTTTAGAAAATCTACAAGGCTGGCATTCTCCTGCTGTGGAGCTGGTGATGTTCTCAATGCTATCTTCTCATTTCATGTCACTGTTTCCATTTCATTTCATTTCATTTCATTTCATTTCATTTCATTTCACTTTTTCTGAAAAGTCCAGACTAGTGCTCAGCTTTGCAAGTTAATCTCTTAATAGTCTGGGCAACAGCAAGCATCTCACTACCACCGTCATACATGATGGCATGTTATGTGGAGAAGGTGAAGACAGGTCGTGGGAACGTGCCTTCCCACCCCGTTTCCCTGAAGCCTCCAGTTCACGCCCTGGGATCCTGTGTACCCAAATTATGGCCATGCCACCATCTGCAGGCTTGGAGTTTTCTTCTTGGAACTTTGATCTCAGGAAAATCGTCTTTCTCTTTAACTTTCAAATATTACATTTGTTCCCATTTTATGTCCATTCATTCAGTTCTGTTTGAGTCTCTCCAATGCTACTGTTCTTACCCATTAAGTGTCAGACTTATCAAGTCTTTTCTTATTATGTCACAATCTTTAACTCTGTTACATTTTATGTGTTCTTGCGTTCTGGCCCTCTCCGGGACATTGCTACACTTGGTGGTCGCTATCAGGATCTCATTCTTCTTTCACCACCATTGGCACCTCCCAGCTTTTGCTCAGTTCTGCTGCTGGTGGAAGAAGGCCATGGATCTGGGAGCCTCAGGAAATGATTCCGTTGTCACTGAGTTTGTCCTGCTGGGTCTGTCAGAGACTCCAGCTCTGCAGCCCGTCCTCTTCATCATCTTCCTTCTCGCTTATGTAGCTACTCTCGGGGGCAACCTCAGCATCCTGGCCGCCATCTTCGTGGAGCCCAAACTCCACACCCCCATGTACTTCTTCCTGGGGAACTTGTCCTTGCTGGATGTCGGGGGCATCAGCGTCACTGTCCCTGCCATGCTGAGGCGCTTCGTGTCCAATAACAGAAACGTTCCCTACAGGGCCTGCCTCTCACAGCTCTTCTGTTTCCACCTCCTGGCAGGGGCTGACTGCTTCCTGCTGACGGTCATGGCCTATGACCGCTACCTGGCCATCTGTCAGCCCCTCACCTACAGCACCTGCATGAGCTGGGGAACTCCGCAAGCTCTAGTGGGCATGTCGTGTGTCTTTTCCTTCACCAACTCACTGACCCAAACTGTTGCCGTATCTACTCTTAACTTCTGTGGCCCCCGTGTGATCAATCACTTCTACTGTGACCTCCCACAGCTCTTCCAGCTCTCCTGCTCCAGCACCCAACTCAACGAGCTGCTGCTCTTTGTGGCAGCAGCCTTCATGGGTGTGGCCCCCTTGGTCCTCATCACTGTGTCCTATGCACACGTGGCAGCTGCAGTCCTGCGGATCCGCTCCGCTGAGGGCAGGAAGAAAGCCTTCTCCACATGTGGCTCCCACCTCACGGTCGTCAGCATATTCTACGGGACAGGTGTCTTCAGCTACATGAGGCTGGGCTCCGTGGAGGCTTCGGACAAAGACAAAGGGATTGGCATCCTCAACACTGTCATCAGCCCCATGCTGAACCCACTCATCTACAGCCTTCGGAACCCTGATGTGCAGGGCGCCCTGCAGCGGGTGTTCACGGGGAGACGGCCCCCAGAGTGACATCCTTTCCTCTAGTCTTAACGAATGTCAAGCTGCTTACAGCTTCCAAAAGGTATTGTGTTTGTGCAAATGGGAAGGGAGTATGCTGAAATGGGGTTGGAGACTGGCCTAGGAAGGAAAATACAATAAAAATGATAATAGCTATCACGTATTTTTTGATACATGACAGGCCCTCTTCTTGGTGACTGACGTCTACTAACTCATTTAATCCTCATAATAACCTTATGAGGTAGGTATATAGTTTCAATTTAGGAAATTGAATTTTAGAGAGGTTAAGTAACTTGCCCAAAGTCACACAACTAATGAACACCAGAGCTGGGATTTGAAGCCAGGCAGGTACATCTTTAACTACTGCATCTCATTTCAATGAGGAAGGATATCTCTAAGGTGTTCAACAGAAAAACAATGAAAAGAAAAGGAAAATCAATGTTACAGGGAAAATGTTATGAAATAAGAAATTTTTGTTGCTTTGACAAATTGATACTTTGTTCCAGAGCAGCTGGGAGAGGTTAAAGGGATTGCTGGAGGCCAAGTTCAACAAATAAATCAACAAAAAGGAAACAAGTGTTAAAAGGAAGCCTGAGGGAATAGGCCCTGATTAGAAATATCACAGAGGTGAGGTAGAGTATTTTCATATTCATTTCAAAAACACAAAAATTATGCGTAATAAGGTTAGTTAGAGAAAGAGGTTTGGCTCATTGTGAAAAATCTTCCTGACAGAATGGAGATCTTCACCATCTCTGATATAAATTTGAAACCACCCTTCTCCTTCTGCATTGCTGTAGGGAGAAAGCACTTCACTTATTCAACTTATAAACTTTAAACAGCTTTTTCTACAATGTAGTAAAAATGCATGAGTACTAAATTAGAAAGTTCAAAAAGAATAGGGGCTCCTGGGTGGCTCAGTCAGTGGGTGCAGGCTCTTAATTTCAGCGTGAGTAATGATCTCACGGTCGTGGGATGGAGTCCTGCGTTGGGCTTTGAGCTGAGCATGGAGCCTGCTCGGGATTCTCTCTCTCCCTCTCCCTGCCCCTTCCTTGCTCGTGTTCTCTGTCTTACTCTCAAAATAAATAAAAATTTTTTTAAAAAAACAAAGTTCAAAAATAATAATTAAATTGACTTGTAAGTTTGCCATTCAGGGATAATCATTATGGACATTAAGCATATAATAGTTGGGGGCACCTGGGTGGCTTAGTCGGTTAAGCGTCCGACTTTCGCTTAGGTCATGATCTCGCGGTTCGTGGGTTCGAGCCCCGCGTCGGGCTCTGTGCTGACTGCCAGCTCAGAGCCTGGAGCCTGTTTCAGTCTGTGACTCCCTCTCTCTCTGACCTCCCCTGCCCACTCTGTCTCTCTCTCTCTCTCCTAGAAATAAATAAAACATTTTTAAAAAAGCATGTAATAGTTAAAAATTTTTCATACTTCATATTTATTTGCCAAAATAAACTAATTCTATACCTAAATCTCTATAATCTGCTTTTTTTCAGTTAATAATGTAAGGGACATCTATCCATGATAATAAATATAGATCTTCCTCATTTTTTTCTATGGTTACATAGTATTCTTTGAATGGTTGGAACAAAGTGAATTTCACAACTACCTATTAGTGAACTTGTGTTGGTTCAAGTAATATTGTACGACATGGTGCAGTGGGCGTCTTCTACATTCACCCGTGCACATTTTTCTAAATATTTGCTGAGGGTAAATTCCTACTAGTGGAATTCCTGGGTCAAAGGGTATGTAAATTTTCAAGGCACTTGAAAACAAATTGCCAAATTGCCATTCAAGAATGACTGATACATTGATACTTCCATATCACCCGTAGCTTGTACCTCTGCTGAGGTACCAGGCCACATGTTATAACTCAGTGCTCTTCTAATTATAAATTCATCACTAGTAAAGTTAAATATATGTGTGTGTGTGTTTCTAAGATCTTTTTCTTATAAATTTGGAAGTACTCTTAGTTGGTTAATGATATTAATTCTTCATCTCATAAATATAGCAAATATGATATTTTCTTTGGTCATACAGAGGTTTTAAATTTATACATGATAAAAAGACTCGACTTTCTCAGCTACAGAGTTGTAGCATCTGGTTTTGACATGATGTCTAGAGAAACCTTTTTTATTTTTGATTCTTTTGCCATTTTCTAAATATCCTTACAGTTTAGTGTTTGTTGTAGGACTCCTTTTCTAGCTGTACACTTGTTAATTACCGTGGTATTACAGTACACACTGCTATGCAGTTCTTAAGATCTTTCTTGTTACTCTTCTTTCCCTACTATGGGTGTTCCAACCTTGCCAATTCCTGCAGCTGCCTAGTCCCATCTATCATCCTTCTAGATTAATTTTTATAATATGCTTGTAAAATTCTAACACAAACTGTATCAACGAAAGAATTTAGGAAGAATGGACAACATTGAGCTGTTAATTTTCCCATTTTGGAGCAAGGGATATCTCTTCAGTTCATCAAGTCATCTTTTAGAGTGTAAGAGATTTTTTAAAGTTTTTATTTTAATTCCAGTTAGTGCACAGACAGTGTTGTATTAGTTTCAGGTGTACAATATAGTGATTCAGCAACTCCATACAATACCTGGTGCTCATCACCACAAGTGTGCTCCTTAATGCCCATAACTATTTAAGCCATTCCTCCACCCATCTCTCCTCTGGTAACCATAAATTTGTTCTCTATAGTTAAGCCTGTTTCTTGGCTTGCCTCTCTCACTCTCTTTTTTCATTTTGGTCATTTGCGTTGTTTCTTAAATTCCACATACGAGTGAAATCATATGGTATTTGCCTTTCTCTGACTTATTTCACTTAGCACTATGCTTTCTAGCTCCATCCATGTCATTGCAATTGGCAAGACTTCATTCTTTTTATGGCTGAATAATATTCCTGTGTGTGTGGTGTGTGTGTGTGTGTGTGTGTGTGTGTGTGTGTGTGTGTGTAATTGCTGGATTGTAGGATAGTTCTATTCTATCTTTTTGAGGAGTCTCCATGATATTTTCCAGAATGGCTGCCCCAGTTTGCATTCCCAACAACAGTGCAAAAGGGTTCCCCTTTCTCCATATTCTCACCAGCATCTGTTATTTCTTGTGTTGTTGATTTTAGCCATTCTGATGGGTGAGGCAATACCCATGTGGTTTTGATTTGTATTTCACTGATGGCAAGTGAAGATAAACATCTTTTCATGTGATTGCTGGTCATCTGAATGTTTTCTTTGGAGAAATATCTGTTCGTGTCTTCTACATATTTTTAAATTGAATTATTTATTTTGAGGGGTGTTGAGTTTTATACATTTTTTATATATTTTGGATATTAACCCTTTACCAGATATGTCATTTGCAATCATCTTCTCCCATTCCATAGTTTGCTTTTAGTTTTGTTGGTGGTTTCCTTCTATGTGCAGAAGCTTTTTATTTTGATGTAGTCCCAATAGGTTATTTTTTATTTTGCTTTCTTTGCCTCAAGAGACATATCTAGTTAAAAATTGGTACAGCCAGTGTCAGAGAGGTTACTGCTTATTTTCTATTCTAGTATTTTTATGCTTTCAGGTCTCAAATTTAGGTCTTTCATCCATTTTGAATTTATTTTTGTGTATTGTAAGAAAGTGGTCTAGTTTCATTCTTTTACATGTTTCTGTCCAATTTTCCCAACACCATTTGTTAAAGAGACTGACTTTTTTCCATTGGATATTCTTTCATGCTTTGCCAAAGATTAGTTGATCATATAGTTGTGCATTTATTTATGAGTTTTCTATTCTGTTCCATTGGTCTATGTGTCTCTTTTTGTGCCAGCACATACTTTCTTGATTACTACAGCTTTGTAATATAACTCTAAGTCTGGAATTGTGATGCCTTCAGCTTTGTCGTTTTTTTTTTTTTTTTTTTCAGGGTTGCTTTTGCTCTTTGGGGTCTTTTGTGGTTCCATGTAAATTTTAGAATTGTTTGTTCTAGCTCTTTGTTCTTCCAACCCATAAGCATGGAATGTCTTTCCATTTCTTTGTGTATTCTTCAACTTCTTTCATCAGTGTCTTATAGTTATCAGAGTACAAGGTTTTCACTCTTTTGGTTAGGTTTATTACTAGGTATTTTATTATTTGTACAATTGTGATTGGGATTGTTTTCCTTTTATATATATATATATTTTTTTTTTTTTTTTAAATTTGAGAAAGAGCACTAGTGGGGGAGAGGGGCAGAGGGAGAAAGTGAGAGAGAGAGAGACAGAGAGACAGAGAGACAGAGAGAGCATCTTAAACAGGTTCACACTCATTGTAGAGCACAACGTGGGGCTCAATCCCACAACCCTGGGATCATGACCTAAGCCTAAATCAAGAGTTGGGCACTCAACTGACTGAGCCACTCAGGCATCCCTGTAATTGGGATTATTTTTAAATTTCTCTTTCTTCTGCTTCATTATTGGTGTATAGAACTTACACACACTTCTGTATGTTGATTTTGTATCCTGCAACTTTACTGAATTTGTAATCAGTTCTAGCAATTTTTGGTGGAGTCTTTTGAGTTTTCTATACAGAGTATCATGTATCTGTGAATAGTGAAAGTTTTACCTCTTCCTTACTGATGCGGATTCCTTTTCTTTTTGTTGTTTGGTTGCTGTGACTATGACTTCCAGTATCATGTTGAATAAAAGTCTTGAGAGTGGACCTCCTTGTCTTGTTCCTGACCTTAAGGGAAAAGCTTTCAGTTTTTACCCATTGAAGATGATGGGTAAACCTTTGGGTTTCTCATATATGGCCTTTATTATGTTGAGGTGTGTTCCCTGTAAACCTACTCTGTTGGGAGTTTTCACCATAAATGGATGTTGTGCTTTGTTAAATCTTTTTCTGTGCCTATTGACATGATCATATGCCTCTTATCCTTTCTCTTATTGATGTGATGGCTCATGTTGACTGATTGCAAATATTGAGCCACCCTTGCTACCCAGGAATAAATCTGACTTTACAATTGTGAATCATTTTAAAAAATGTATTGTTGGATTCTGTTT